CCATCATATCGTCCGGCGGCTCAGAGATGCCGGACCATCCCATCATATCATCTGGCGGCTCGGGGATGCCGGACCATCCCATCATATCATCCGGCAGCTCGGGGATGCCGGGCCATCCCATCATATCATCCGGCGGCTCGGTGGTGCCGGACCATCCCATCATGCAGTTCGACATCCCCGTGATGCCTCCTAGCCAACAGAAGGAAACGGCAGAACATGCCATGACATGAAACATCAGCATGCTGTCAGGTGGTATGCCTTCCCGGAGACCGTGGAGGGTGGAGCACCGAACACTTAATCTGTTCGCGGAGACATTGGAGAAGCAGTTTATGGGCTGGCGCCCAAGAAGCATATGGTCTTATCATATTATCCGGCGGCCCGGCGACGCCGGACTATCCCGTCATGCGGCTCGGCATCCACGGACCGGTTGCCACGTGAACGCACGGTACGGAGCGCTCCCCACGTGATCGCTTGGTTGGGCGAACACATGTCCCACGTCCCATGGACGTCGGACCATCCTACCGTGTTATTCGGTGGCCCGGGGACGCCGGATGATCCCGTCATGCGTTTCGGCGTCCCCGAAACGCTTGATGAGCAACTTTGTTGTCTATGACAGAATTGTCATTCATTTGTCCTCTGATGAGTGGCGTTGCTGTCTACCAAACAAATTTATTAAGGTAATTAGTGTGTTTTGGGAATTAGCATACTCTTTTGTATTGTAGTCGTGACACTTTGTCTGCTGTACACATGCATACACACACACGGTTCGGGATATAGAGACACAAAAACACATCCACATATAGGCACATGGAATTTCTTGTATACACATGCATCTATGTATACACGCATTGCTTCTAATCAATATATGTTGTAATTCTTTTCGCATTCTGTAAACACATAGGTTTCTTGTACAACTGCAGGCTGACTTTACTTCATTACACATGGACTTTGATGTATGTTCTTTTGTTGAGGTCTTGACACTTAGTCACTGGGTATATTGTTCAACCGCAAGTGCGGCAACTAGAAACCGTACTGAATATCATGCGAACTAGAAACCAATGCACGCTAGAAACCCACGCCTACTAGTAACCCGAAACCACATGAAAACCACCCCATTTAGAAACCAATGCCAGTAGAGGGCATTGGTAGTAGCCTAAACGCACCTGAAAACCATGCCAACTAGAGGGCGCCATGCTGTGTGCTCTTCTATTATAATTCTTGGTGCGTGGTGAATGTCCTTTGTCACAGTACGGACAGTTCTAGAGATGAATGTGTTTTTTGCCACAGTACGGACAATCGTATACGTCTCTGCTCCAACCAGTAGAAAAGGTCACTGCTTTCTTCCCGCCACGTGTGTACTTTTTTCTATCGAAAATAACGTCTAACCTGTCATCCCGATGTTCGACGGTCCACAATATCTCGTCATAATTATCAAACAGATAATGAACTTGACTATGCACTAAGCATTCAATCCTCATTTCGAGCTCTTTCCTTAGAGTATGATCATGGGATATTCGAGTTTTGAAGCGCCCAAGTGATCCGGCAAGTGTAGGGCTATTGAACGCTTCCTGAGACGTAAGTGTGCCATCGTGAAACTCCTCTCTAGCAAGGAACAACGCGTTGATTTTTTTATCGTTCACCTTGGCCGCTTTAAAAAGTATCACAACTGTGGTGTTACGATTCAACACCCGGATTCGACCATAAAAATCTACAAAGATCGGGAACTGCAGGTGCGGTTTTCCGATGCAAAACCAAGCACATTGTTTGGCATGTTTCCTATCTTTCTGTGACCATTGCTGCTTGACACACAATATTTTCCACGCGTCAATCATCTCCGTTGGTATAACAGGGTCTTCAGTACTGTCCTCGTCGTCGGTCTCTACATCGACTTCTTTCTCCAATGAGTACAAGTACCGGAAGTCTTTGTCGTCGTCACGATGAAGCTCTATGTCGTTGCCTCCCATGACCCAAGACATGGATTTCACCGTCAGGCGCGACATTTCCGACAAGGTGCAAATAGCGAGAGTCTATGCTGACGATATCATTTTCCCATATATTTTTATCGAATATTATGAGATCCAGGGCCGGTGTATTTGAATTGTTGCCTTCTGATGAAGTCCCGGTCGGTGATGTGTTGTCATGCGACACATTGTGGTCGACATTCATCCTGCAATACGACATAAGCACAATGAAAGTAATGTAGCATATATTTCACATTTTGCCAC